ACCTTATTAAATAATATTACAGCTAACAATTGACAACCGGAATCAATACTAACATTGTGAACCAGTGTTGGCAAGTACAAATTGAAACAGTATCAAAAATCCTTGGGTAAAGACAACTTAGTATTATCTACAGAATTTGGGTTATTTCACATTACAAAGCCCAACGATGTAGATATATGACGTAACTATTTGTTCACAAATGAGTCTAGATTTGCTTTAGATTGTTCAGATACCTGATGTGGAGGTAACGTAGAGACTGATAACTACAACAAAATATACCTTCAAATATGTTATTCAGAGGAGTATTTGCTACTGTCTGCGGTGGACTTTGTTTGAAGTCGTGCATACGGATATTTGTTTTTGGTACACAAACAATATGTAGTCAATGATATGTAAAATTAGTTATTCATCTAATTGTTGGCTTATTTGATTGTCAGTTTGTCTTAAATTTTGTTCTTGTGGGTAATAACTCTTTTAAAATTAACATTGATTTAGCTGTAGAAAAGTTCGATATTACTCATATGGTTTTCGTTCGTCAAAATTCTATGGAAGACTTCTGAGATTATCTGCAAAAATAGCTTAAGTTTGTGATTTTTAATCAAGTTTAAAGGTGCCGCCCAATAAGGATGATCGCGACAGCAAGGACAAAACAAAAAGTTTACTTGTTGTAGAAATAAGAAAATAAGCATAGTAAGATGTGTAAACTGTGGAAAACCTTTCCATAAATCGTGCACATCGTAGACGAGATTAGGTTGGAAAACTTTAAAATTTAGATGAAACGCGTAGGAGTTGTTGTGATAATATAAGCTTAAATAGTGGAGATGGCATGGAAATACGATCATTTTTCTGCTAAATAAAGTTATTTGTGAGAGATTGGATAAATGGTTATCAAAAAATTTACTGGAGGTAAAAAATGCCGCAACAAATTAAAAATAACAATAACAATTTATCCATTTTCAAAAGAACGAAATGACGTGGCAGAGACAGTCACAGAACAGCTACTTTGCTCTGTGGATTTATCTGAACTGCCACCGAAACCAAGAATATCAAGTGGTTAAATAGTTGCACCGGTAACGCCTGTTAAAGATGTCAACCGTCGGCTAATTTAAACTGAAAACTATAAATAGAAAACAAAAAAAAGGGAGGTTTTAAAAATGAAAGCTTAGAAAATACTTAACTACCTAAAAAATAGAAAACTGGATGAAAACGTTATCTTAGGAACACTGAAAACCAGGACAAATAAGTACAAAAGTCCATTTAAAATTACTCTGCCAGAACAAAAAAAACATAATTTAATGCAGCAAGAATTACGGCCGAACGTTTTAATTTTTAACCATTTTTCGAATGTATAGAGACATCCCAGTGTCAAAAGATAGTCTACGGTACACAGCAAAAGAAATTATTAGTAATTTACTTAAATACTTAATCAATCAGACCAAGATCATGCTGAATGATTTGCTATTTGTTTAATTAAGCAGTGGAAAACAGAAAAATAACTAAGGGTTTAAACTGAGATCTTCATATTGTAGAAGCACAAAACCCACAAATTTTAATAAACAAATTACACCAAATACTTTGTGATTTAGTTGACAGGGCCCGCACTATTTTTCTGGCTGGTGATTTTAACAGATATGCTGCTTGAGGTTGCGAGGTGGCCAGATACATTAAAAACGGTTTTGAGCTCCTTTGATATTGAATCTTTCATCAAAGACTATATACGCATACAAGGTAACAAAAAATCCTGTATAGATAATATTTTTACAAATCTTTGTTTATCTACATATTTGATTCTATTCTGTTCGTTGACATATTTGATTCTGTTGTATTCAATCCTCATACATCTGATCATACTGCTTAAAAGTAAAAATTTGCGTCAAATGTAATAAAAAAATGATTATTTAGCAAGGAGAATAACGACTTTTTTAAATTCTTGTTGGATAATACAGACTGGGTATCTGTTTTTGAGACATTAGAGGCAGACAAGCAGTTGGAGGCTTTTATGAATATGGTTCAAAAAATGTTCTATCAAATTAATTCTATTTCATTTTGGTACAATGTCTTACAAGATATTAAATGGAAGATTCGCCAATTAAATCTGCGATATTTTCGCTATTTTATATATTTCAATAAAATCTGTTTTAAAATGTTTTAACTTTTACCGAAAAATGTTTTCTTGAACTGACGAGAAGCTGTAATTACGAATATACTCATCAAACAACTTTTTACAGTGTATACACATTTAATTAAAGTCCATTGATTAAAAAATACGAAATGTTTTGTGTTGATTCTAACTATGACGCTCGTGTTCCAAAAAGGTTGTTCCCCTAAAATGAAAACGAGAGGTATTCATGCCGTTTCCTCTTCCTTTACAAAGGATAATCTTTCGGGATAAATGCATGTACCTGTGTAGCATCCCTAACGGTAATGTATATATATAATAAAAGGTAATTAATAACAATATCACGTATTACGAATCAGATTTTCCGTTGAAAGCTGCCTTTAACATATTAAATTTAAATTTATAAATGGCTACAAGGTGTATTATCAATGTTGGAAATTTACTCTTCTTCATCTCCTTTTATACATGAACATTAAATTATACAGTATTGTTAATATAAGCGTCAGTTCCTAATTTCAAAACAATTTAAAATATTCAACTTAATCTTTTATTAAAACTGTTTATTTATGTTAGTGTTAATATATAAATATTAACTAAACAAGTTTTTGTATAGCACAAAAGTAGCAAAAATTGCACATCAGCTCATAAAGAATTACCTATAGGCAAACATGAGCTTAATATCATTAAACCCTTCCACCTGACTGATATCTGGAGGTTTTAAGAGCAAAGCAATCCTGTTTTTTTGTCGAAAACTGTCTGTTGTAAACTGCTCATGCTGTATCAAATTGGCGTATTATACATCTTTTATTTATTTTATTCCAGTCAGAATTTTTAAACCTTGTGTATTCTGGCAAATATTAAAAGAAATTAGTCATCCAAAATCACGAGCCGTAAGTGGTTAAAAGTAGCCGAAATTATGTACCCATCATGAATGGCGGCACATAAAAAATATATTTCCTTGCTAGTAACTTTATATTGTAACAATAGAATATTATATTTCCTCATATAATACTAAAAATAATACATTTGATCTAGTTTATAAAATAAGTTTTCACTATTCTTTCTTTGGAGAAAAAAAATCGTTTAAAGATATGCCAAGACAAAGGTTCTCCAGTGAGAGTACAATATATACAAGAATTCGTTAGTTTTCTTGACGAAAATCCGAGTGCCAATTCTTTTACTGACAATCGGCTCAGAAGAGTTTTGTATAAATCCTTTTTAAAGCGACAACCTGATTTAATCGAGAGAAATCCAGAAGCGGTGATAGCAGCAAGTTAAGTTGTGTCTAAAAAAATATAACAAAATAGTTAATCAGTATTTAAGAATACGTACATCGTAAAGGTTACATTGATATGCTTCAAAACCCTTCACATCTTTAATTGGGGGTGAAACCTGCTTTTTGCTGATGGATGAAGAATATAAACTTCTATGAATACATAGGAAACGTCTTATATACATACCTAGTTTCGAAAAACACTTAATTTTCAGTTATTTGTTTGTTAATGGACATGAAACTTACTTAACCATTAAACCTGTGAATTATGTTTATAGTTACTCATTATTTTAGTGGACTTGTATCCCAATGCGAGCAGAATTGTACATCATGCAGATAGTCTTGCGTTTAAACCACTAAAGCTAAATTGAAACCGGGTAGTATTAAAATAAAAGACGAGACAGTCCGAACTCACGAGTTACCAAAAATAATTTTGGATTGGCAGTAAATACAGCAATTAAAATCACATTTAATAATTTAGTAATAGCTTTAAAGAATCTAAATTGTGTCTATTGAACCCTGAAGCAATAGACCATTCCAAATGTTTAGGAAAGATCAAAAAACTGAATAAAGATATTAATTACCCTATTTTTGGGACAAAATTAGTAACACTAAAAAATACTCCACAGCATTGATTCACTCACCAATAACTTTTCCTAGCAAAGAGCAGGCAAATATCTTTTCTGCAATAGAGGGCCTCAAATTACAAGATTATTTATTAGGACTTGAACCACTTGTAGATCCAAAAAACATAATTTTTTCATCCAGAATTTTAAACAACCGTATTTGTGTATACTTATCAAGTAAATCAGCTGCAGAGAAATTTTTAAAAGAACATAATTCAACTAAAATTAATAACATAGTAATACCAGTAAGAAAGCTAGTTATCCCATCACAAAGACTTGTTCTATCCAACGTAAGTCCCACAATTCCACATAATTTATTGAAAACTGAGTTAAAAACTATTTTATTACAGCTAATGTCACCCCTTACATTCTTACGAATTGGTGCAACCGATTCAGCGTATAGTCACATACTTAGTTTTTGAAGGCAGGTGTACATATCTTCTCCAAAAGATAGTTTCCAAATTCCCGATACATTAGAAATTAATCATGATGACTTAAAATATCGCATATTTCTTACAACAGATATATTATGCTATAAGTGCAAGCAACCAGGTCATTTTGCATCTCAATGTACCAGCCTCTAACTCCAAGCTTCAACTTTCAACAATACTAGATCAAAACAACAAAGTTCCTCTCCAAAACATTCCTCAGACAGCAATAATTTAAGTAAGTTTATATCAAATACTACTAATCCTGAAATGATATATGAACAAACACCAATTACTCCTACATTTAATGAGCCCAATCCCGACATACTCGCTTCTGTTGAAGTTCAAAATAACTCCAATAACTAAACCTACGACCTCCAAACGAAATTTATCTGAAATTGCAACACCTAGCCCAGAAGATACACTAGATATTACTAATATCTGAAAACCAAAATCTTACTTTCCCAAACCTGTTTCAACAGTTCCAAAGAAACAGTTTGTTCCAAAAGTCGAAAAACAAACCCTCATTAGAATTTCGAGAATTGCCACAAAAGATGACCAATTTTATTGACAATCACAATCCCAAGTTCCTACTCGATAGTCAACAATTCACTGATCTGGTAGAGAACACTCACGGTAGTAGTGATGTATTAAGCATTGCTAAAGACTATGCCCTACATATTCCATCTCTTATAGAAATGATAAATGAAATACATTCGCAGGCTGAAGATCAAAATATGAAAATTAAATGTACTAGACTAAGTAAAAAATTAACTACACAACTGCTCGAGCATGTTGGTTCATCTGACTAAGACAGTGATATAATATCTCAAAACTAATTATTTAAATAAAAATATAATTTATGTATAATAATATTTTACAGTGTTATATTTTACAATATTTTATTTACTTATTAGGAAATATTTACCTGATATTATATGTCTTCAAGAAACTAATTTTAAAGAGGACACTGTGTTTAATCCTTAAAATCATAGATTGTTTACTATCAAAATAAACAGACAAATCATGCTAGTGGCGGTGTTGCGATATGTGCTAAAACCAATTTACAAATAAGCAGAATCACAATTAATACAAACTTAGAAGCAATAGCAGTAACAGTAACAATAGGTACTAATCAAAAAATGAATATTTGCCACATTTATATTCCCCCGAGCTAAAATATCCAAAAAAATTAACTTACCTATTAAAGCCTATTCAACGGAGTCTCCCAAATATAGTGCTGAAAGACTAACTAATAAAATTCCATCAAGTTATAAGAGATATTTTTAGTGAGTGTACCAGTGAAAATATTGTGAAATTTTTAAGAGACTATAGGAATTTAAGAGGTTTTATATTGAACCACATATAGGTAAGTATGTTATTTATTTGTTATTTGTAATTATTATTGTTTACATTAAATACATCCGTTAATAACCAATATCGTTGATACGGCTGCCTTTAAATAAAAAAAAAATGTAAAGTATAAGTACACATACCTAAGTAATTAACCTCAAAGGAAACCAAGAATTATCATTGAATCAACTTTCTGGTCCTTTAGAGGAAAACGTTATTTTCTCCACAATTGATACATATTTTTGCTGTTTTGCATGCAACAATACTAATTCTCCAAATTGAAAAAATATATTCCAAAGGACATATACAAATTTGGAAATCACCATAGAAAAACGTGCTGGTGAGTCGGTTAAAAGAAAGTTGTGTTTCGAAACTGAGGGGTATCCAGAACATGAAAAACTACATATTCTCTCAGATATAACTATGAAACAGTTATAAGTGAAAGTGAAGTGAAGTGACAGTGAAAGACACCAATTCATCTGTACAAAATCTTTTTTATATATGATTATGTTATTCTTGTTCGTATAACATAACTAAATTAAAAATTGAATGACTTTAATTTTATGTCAATAACTATGGTTGCATGGCTAATAACTGTGTAAAACGATTATAAGAACGATTTCCGAAGTGGAAATTGAAACCTCAATAAACGTATTTTTATCTTTAATTGTGGCTTATTCCCAGAAAAATAGTAATTAATAACTGTGCAGTTTTATAATTTTTTTAATTTGTGTTAATTTTTAGTATACATTATAATTTTTGCTTGTAACAACTCAAGTTTTTATAAAATTTTATGTTTTATTGCTATTAAAAAACCCTTACAAAAAATTTTACTTTAAAAGATACCAATTTATAACTTTAATACGATTCACAATCCCTTAAGTGGTCCATGACTCTACCCGTTACCATATATTTAAAAGTTTATTCTTATAATATAAATATTTTCCACCAAAGTATAATTTCTGTATTTTCCGGTAATTATGGGAACAACGATGTGTACAGATTTCAGATGTTCTCCAAATACGAGACAGCGATCCGAATTTTGTACAGGTATTATCGGGAGAAACAGTTTCGGTAAAATTTAAACTCATTAATAAAATTGGCCACGTGTGCTAGATCCAAAACAAAGTTTCAGACGATTATTATTAAAGGCTGATAAAGTCGACCGGCCAAAATTTGTGCATATCCAAATTATTAGCATTGGCAATACGAAAGGCCGATAGCTGTGTAATCAGATCAAAAAGTTATTGAGTATTTGCTTATATAATTGGTGTTATTATAGTTGGAAGAACAAGGTAATGTGAGGATTAGTGAACCATTAGAAATTATAGAAAATCATTTAATAATACTGTTTTATTTTATTTTATTTTATTGTATAAAATCTATCTTGTTAATGTTTAATGAACTGTACAAAGAGTCACATAAAACAGTTGTTATCATGTAACAATAAGACTACTAAAGAGATTTGAAATACTATTATAAAATAATACCTCAATCAACTATGGGTGCTTATCGTCTATGCTTCGCCCAGCTCAGTCTCTTAAGTGTGAATCCGTCTTGTCTTAAACTATGAATTAGACAATAAAAATTTAGTTTCTAACAAATAAAACAATGAATTAACTAATTATATTTATTTAACACAAAATAATATTTAATTTACAGAAACAACCCTACCTAAATATTTACAATAAATAAATTTAGAACTGATACTTATGGTATATGGGTAGCTAAAATTATTCTTTTCTTGACGTATGCTATGCAGCATGTAGACGTTCATTTTGACAGAATGACAAGCAGGTATTCTTCTTATATACTGTTGGTTGCGACCTAACCACTTAAGACCTTTAGTTGATTGTAAAAAGAGTAGTATAGTCTATAATATTTACTTTTAATGTAACAACCTATCTATTTTTATATTTCTAAAAGCTCCTGTATAACCTGATTTCAATTAACTATATTAGATAGAGTCTATCATGAATCCTACAGGGTGAAATTTTGAAGTTATACAATAAACTATTCATGGAATAAATTTATTTGTGTCCTTATTTTAGAAAATATATAAAAAAATTAGTCTTCTAATTAGCCCTTCGTTGTCAAGGAGCTGGATTACTTTAATATTCACATAAATAAGAAGTCGTTTTTTACGATTTTCAGCAATCTTCTTGATAATTGTATCCACAAGTGTCCATAACTCGGACCTTTGGAGGTCTCTGGTTCTCACGTACCAAGGATTATTTCTATATTACTTTGCTTGGCACACCCCCAGCGTTGGCTACCATAAGTCCAAATAGGTTGCAGTATTTTTTTTTGTAAAGTAGAAGTTTATTGTATATAGATAGAGAGGACTTTCTTCCAAGCATCCAATACATTTTTTGTATCCTATGTCAAGTTATTGCCTTTTTGTATCATGGACTTTTCAGCTTTTTAAATATAATTATTTTAAATGTACAGGTTGATTCGCGTTAGTCTAACTATATTTTTTAGCGAAACAGGCTATACATTTTTATGTTTTTCAAAGCTCCTTAACATCTGGAGCCAGCGTGTCTTTTTAAATACATGAATACACTGCTTGAAACTCAGCTATTTCTGGATAATTGGAATATCTTAGGGCTCGTGCTACTCATAAAAGGGAAAGACAAGTATCGAGGTGTTTACCTTCTGTCGTGCACAGGTGAATTAAACGAGACTCTTCTAAGAGGGCGAATCGACACAGTTATGGAAGAATTAGGCGAGCTATCACACACGCAGTACGGTTTCAGAAACAACAAGAGCACGGTGGATGCGATGATGGAAGTCTTCCGGGAGTTTCGCAGGCTGGGTGTTAACCAGAGGTGGGCGATCCTACTGTTGTCTGGCGTCCAGAATGGATTCAACACATTAAAATGCAATGAGGTAATCAAAGTTTTACGAAAAAGAGGGCGTCGGAGGTACTTGATGAATTTGGTCTCGGACTATGTCAAAGAGGAAAATTGTGGTAGAAAAATGAGTGGGGGTTGACGTGAGTCACGCTGTGGAATCTGGCATATGATGAAGTTGTGAGCCAACAATACGGAGAGTGTGTAACCCCTTTTGCATTTGCGGACAACCTCGCTATGCTGGTAGTAGCGCGGGACTGGGAGGATTTAAGTTTTGGTGCACAGCGTACATGCAAATAAGTCAAGAAATGGATAAAAATTCACTACCTACAACTGTCTGCGGATAAGACCAAGGCCATAGTTCTTAAGCGTCTAAGAAAAAACGGCGAGATAATATTCGAATATGCAGAACAGAGAGTGGTTTCAAAGAAGTAGGGAGATATTTAACTCACTTATTTATTTACAGCTAAATCTCGCCACGTTAGGGGGATCATACCCAGAATGAAGGATTTCAGGAGTATCCTTCATTCTGTTGTGCAATAGATCATCCTCTATGCTGCGCTTGTTTGTGGTACTACAGTTTTAATAAAGGCACACAGAAGACAGCTTGCCAGAGAATATGGGAAGGTCTATTGAGGGTGGCATGTCCATACAAAACAGTCTCTGCCGAGGTGCTGGCAGTTATCAGTTATTCCAATGCACGTGCTAGTAAAGAAAAAAAAAGGATATACGAGAGAAGAAATATAGTCAAAGCAAAAAAACGTTTCAAGAGACAGGAAAGGGAGAGGTTCATTATGATGTGGCAAGAGGAATCGGTCGAGATGGAAAAAGTGGTGTAGTGGACGAAATCGCTTATTCCTAATCTGAAATTGACAAATACTTGTATTGTGACATATCGGACACTATCTCACACATTCTATTGGTATGCGATAGATGGATAGCCGAGACGCGTTCTTAAGACAGAGCTAGGAAGTAGGGAGCAATCAGTTACGGAACTGGTGGAGAAGATACTTAGGTCGTCAGATCGGTGGAGAGCAATTCAGAGATATGCAGAGAATACTTTAAAGAGGAAACGCAACCCGAAGGAAGGCAGAATGACCAGAGCAATCAAAAAAATAAGGCAGAACAATAAGGGGTAAGGTTAAACATAAACAGGGACAAACATATATGGAAAGAAAGACTCAGTCGTAGTGAGAAAATACGAGAAGGCGTGAGAATTATTAGTAAATAAGAGATCGTGTAAGTGACGTACCGACGTTGTGTCCCAATCAAGGCGGTGCGGCTGCTAATTCATGGTTGGGAAGGGTGTTTTTTTAACAGGCATTGACGACGATGGTGTCCAAACAACTCATGCATGCGGTCTCGGATATCATCTTCGTCACGCTGTTTTTTTAACACATACTCAACAACAACTCTATAACGTAAATAAAATCGTAGGTACCTGATATTAAACTTATATTATTAGTGCTACGTTTTACGATAACCCATAAAAATAGACAGAATCCGGATTTGTAAGAATAAAATTGATTTTAACTTGCGCGAAAACTAATTTTTATTAATTTTTAGATTTTATAAAATATCTATGGACTTTTTGTGTATGGGTA